TGAAAGCTCTCATTCTGAAAGAGAAAGAGAAGAAGAATAAGAAGAAGAAGAAAGTCATTCTTCTGAGTATGGGCAGAAGGTTTGGGGATAGGTTGAAACATCAAGCTGATCTGTCCTTTTCATCCAAGGGAGGGGAGAACCAAGAAGAAGAAAAGGGCCCTAGTCCAGCAGTTTCTGACAATGATGCAGATTACGATGAAGAGCAATATCCTCCTACTGAGGACAGGTACAAACAACTAGAAGACCGTCCGAGTGCCATGGAGATTCAGAAGATCCATGGTTTGGATTTCAGAGAGCTGGGATTGGTATCTGGAGTCGTGATCCCTCATAAGTTCAAAGCACCTGTTTTTGCCAAGTACGATGGAGTATCCTGTCCAAAACTCCATCTCCGCTCTTACGTCAGAAAAATCCAACCCCACACTGGTGATGGAAATTTGTGGGTGCATTTCTTTCAAGATAGTCTGTCAGGGACTCAACTTGAATGGTTTTATCAGTTGGAAGGAGCTAATGTCCGAAACTAGGAGGACCTTGCTGCTGCTTTTTACAAACAGTATTAGTTTGACGCCCCGGACATTATTGACGCAGTATTAGTTTGACGCCCCGGACAGTATTGAGTTTGACGCCCCGGAGAAACCCAATGTCATAACTGCTCCCATGCCCAAACATGGTCATGGAGTGAATGTTGTGGATGATGATTTATTTGTGACCTCCGTGGAAGAAATTTCTACTCCTTTGATGACAGTTAAGAAGAATCTATTGTTGTCCGGTTTATTTTCGGGTTGTGGCGAAGGTTGCCACATGTGTTCAATTCTGCCTGTTGGTTGCCACTTATTGAAATCAGGTGTTCAACGCCTGATGGATAACAAAGAGATCCTATTCGAGAAGACTATGATTCCGTTGGTTCCAATTCAAGATGTTGCCATCATAACCATTTCCGCTAATCCTTCCAAGGCTTCCTCGAGAAAGCCTGTTAGGATTACACCCGTTCCAAGAATTGCCCTGTTAATAATTACTGTCCCTGGTCCTATCCCATACACTTCGGATAAGGCTGTCCCTTGGCACTATGGGGCCGATGTGTATTACCATGGAGTTAAGAAAGACTTAAAGAGTGAGGAAGCTGATGCTGATATCAGCAATATTGTCGGGGCTAGCAAGGTCACCAGAAGCGGAAGACTCTTTTCTCCCGAAATTTCCCCTCCGACTGTTCACAAACCTGTTGTCATTCTATCTGCTATACATCAGCTACTATCCTAGTTCCTATTCCAGTTATCACCCTTGTCGCCGAGTCATCCGGGACTCGGGGCAAAGAAATCACAGGTGAGCCTGCCCGGACGGAGGCACCTAAGAAGATCATTGTAGAAACCTCTAAGCAGGAGATAGAGGAAATTATAAAGATTATCAAGAAAAGCGACTACAACGTAGTCGAGTAGCTGGGGCAGACCCCGTCAAAAATCTCCATGTTGTCCTTATTATTGTGTTCTGAAGCCCATGCAAAGGCTTTAATTGCTTTCCTCAAAATTGCGCATGTGCCGCAGGAAACTTCAGCCGATCAATTCAAAGATTGCGTAGCTAGTTTGACTGCTGACAATGGGTTGGGTTTCTCAGACGCAGATCTGACTGCTAAAGGAAGAAATCACAATGACGCTTTGCACGTCTCGATCGAGTGCAGGGGCACTACTATGGCCCATGTACTGGTGGATACCGGATCCTCATTAAATGTTTTGCCAAAGAAAGCATTAGACCGTCTGGACTGTGAAGGTTTGTTTCTAAAGCCGAGCAATATTATGGTCAGGGCTTTCGACGGGTTAAAAAGGATGGTGCACGGGGAGGTGGACGTCCCTGTTAAAGTTGGCTCTCAGACTTTTGCATCCATTTTATACGTGATGGATATCCGACCATCATATTCTTGCCTGCTGGGTCGCCCTTGGATTCATAAGGCTGGGGCAGTGACTTCCACGCTCCATCAAATGTTGAAATATACGGTAAAGGGGAAGATTATCACGGTACAAGGTAAAGAGGAGTATATGGTGAGTCATCTTAATTCCTTTCTCTATGTGGAGATGGATGGGGAGTTCATCGAAACCCCGTGTCAGAACTTTGAAGAGGTCCCCCACACTCTGGCGTCGACTGAAGTTGCTGCTGATGAACCTCCAATGAAGATGGCTTCCCTCAAGGATGCCAAGGCTATAATTGAAAAAGGTGGATGTGCAAATTGGGGTCAGCTCCCTGATTTCGCACACAAAACTGACAAGTTTGGTTTGGGCTTTACTGCAGAGGCTCAAAGGGTTGTTCAGCGCGCACGGATTGGAATACCTCCTCTGCACATCAGTAATCAGGAAGTGAATGCAATTGAAGATGGTGAAGAAGATTCAGATATCGACAGCTGGATCTACCCGACAACCAATGGCGGATTGAACAACTGGATGGCGAAAGACTTCATACCCGTTTCTTTTATTACACAGTAATAGACTTTTGTTTTGAGATTTGTAACAGACAGTTTGAAACTTTACGGCGCAGTGCCTTGCCCGAGGCACCTTGGCTTTGTTTGTGAGGGCTTATTATTTGTCATTTTCATATATCATCAATAAAGCATTGGACGTTTTCTTGCATTTCAAATTTTGCGCTCCTTGTTTTTCTTTTCTATCTCGCACTTTATCAAAACAGCTATTGTCTTACACACACTCACATATCATAATGCAGATCCATATCCACTCTGGACCCCATTGATAACAACTCTGCTACTGCCAGTTATGACTTCGAAAATCCGATCAACCAAGCCGAGAACGAAGGTGAGGATGATTATGAGGTACCCGGGGAACTTGCTAGATTGTTACTGCAGGAAGAAAGGGCCATACATCCTCATGAAGAGCCAGTTGAATAAGTGAATTTGGGTACAGAAGAAGACAGGAAAGAGGTCAAGATAGGTGCAAATCTGGAGCCTAGTGTCAAACAACGATTGATAGAGATGCTACGCGACTATGTTGAGATCTTCGCTTGGTCTTATGAAGATATGCCTGGTTTGAATACCGATATTGTGGTTCACCGCCTGCCAACCAAAGAAGACTGTCCTCCGGTAAAGTAGAAGGTTCATCGTATGCGCCCTGAGATGTCTGAGAAAATCAAATTTGAGGTCATGAAATAGTTTGACGCCGGATTTCTAGCTGTTACTTCTTACCCGCAGTGGGTTGCCAACGTGGTTCCGGTGCCTAAGAAGGATGGTAAGGTACGAATGTGTGTGCACTATAGAGATCTGAATAGGGCAAGCCCAAAGGATGATTTCCCACTTGCTCACATTGATGTTTTGATCGACAACACCGCACAGCATAAGATCTTCTCCTTTATGGATGGTTTTTCTGATTACAATCAGATCAAGATGGCTCCCGAAGACATGGAGAAGACGACATTCGTTACGCAGTGGGGCACCTTCTGTTACAAGGTAGTGCCTTTAGGGTTGAAGAATGTTGGGGAAACGTATCAGCGCGCTATGGTCGCTTTGTTCCACGACATGATTCATCATGAGATTGAGGTTTACGTTGATGACATGATCGCAAGGTCCCAGACTGAGGAAGAGCATTTAGATCATCTCCAGAAACTATTTGACAGGTTGAAGATGTACAAGCTGAGGTTAAACCCGAACAAGTGCACCTTCGGAGTAAGGTCTGGTAAACTGTTGGGTTTCGTTGTCAGTGATAAAGATATTCAGATGGACCCCTCCAATTAAAGACCTAGACAATCTCAAAAACTTTGTAGGTCTTAAGGTAGCAAGATCAAACAAGGAAATACATATCTGCCGCTAAAGAAAATATATCTCATACACTATTTCCATATCCCATACACTCTTTCCCATATAGGTTTGCTTGGAAACAAGCCTACCACCACTCCAATGTCCAGAGACACCAATTTGAAGCAAAATGAAGGAAACCCCTTATCATACTCGATTCCTTATAGAATATTTGTTGGCCCACCTCATTTATCTTCTCAACACAAGGCTAAAAATTGCATATGTTGTCCAATAGTTTTTTCAACATATGAGACACCCAACAAATCTTCACAATGATGCTATAATTCGAGTTTTGCAGTACCTCGAACAATCTCTAACCCAGATAATATTCTTCTCCTCCTCATCTTTATTACAATTGAGGGTCTTCTCTGATTTTTATTGGGCCACATGTCTAGATACACGACATTCAATCAGTGGTTTGTGCATTTACCTAGGCAACTCCTTAGTTTCAAGGAAATCAAAGAAACAACTACCTCTCTCACGAAGCTCCACTGAAACATAGTATCAAACAATGATTTCCACAGTTTGTGAACTCCAACGACACATAAGTATTCTCAATGAACTATGAGTTTCTTCACTAAACCAACCCTACTATACTATGACAATGCATCTACAAGACATATTACCAAAAATTCCTCATTCCATGAATGAACTAAGCATATTGACTTGGACTGCCATTTGATTCGTGAGTTTCATGTAGACCTTTTCATGTGTTGTCCGTCACCGGTTCACAATCGGTAGCATACCTATTCACCAAGCCTTTGAACTTGAAGCCTTTCAATGCTAATTTACTTAAGTTTGGAGTACATTCCATATACCCTCAAGCTCGGGGAAGAGGTATTAGAAGCTTAACAATTACTTAATTGCATTAGTTATTCTATTAGCTTTCTGTAATTAGTTTATATATATATATATATATATATATATATATATATATATATATATATATATATATATATATATATATATATCACTGGGATCTCTCTTGTATTCACACCCTTGTATTTTGATCAATACATCGAACCATTAAGATTAAGATTATTAAGTAGGTGTTGTCTTTCATACACATCACAAAGATGATGTGTAATAATTGCTACCATTAAAGTTTTTTTTTTGGACACAATTGCTAGCATTAAAGTTATATCTCACAAATCGTTTAACTTTATATGTCGTTTCACAATATAGATGAAGTATTAATGTTTTTTTTTCTTTCACAAACCTTAAATTGTACACCTGTTGAAGTTCTCCATTTAGAGGTCGAGGGCTCATCAAAATCCAACCCAATTGACAATTTTGAAAAACTCAAACCTTGGCTTGCAGATTGGGAGAAATTGTTCATAGGAATTCCATGGATCCTAACCTCTGGTGAAATTGAATGCTGTGAAGAGAAACCTATCACTAACATTAGTTCTTTGTTTTTCTATAAAATAATATTATCTGAATTTAAAGTTAAGTTTGTTTGATTTAATATGTGATACAAATTAACCTGAAGGGTCAAAGAGTGTTGACCATGACATAAAGGTTTAGGATTCCTATAACCAATCAAGAGATTTGAATCATATAGTCCTCTATGCCACATTATATCAAGCATGTCATTGTTATGAAATATATCTGGATGCTTCAAACAAAGGCTGCAATCAACAAAAATGAAATATTGTTACAAGCAAAGCAAAGTTTTAAATAGCAATATCAATATTGGCATCTTCTAAATGTTAATAAAAATAAAGCAATATATCGTGTACCTGCCACTAGCTAGAGAAAACGGATTAAGATGGGAGAGCACATAAGAATCACATAGCTTTTGAATGAAATTAACTCCAATGTCAAGTTTTGCTGCAAGGCACAAAATTCATTCTCATCAAATTTGATCATAGAAAAAGTGGAAAAAATGAAAAAGATCTAATAACAATTTATTTTATGTTAAAATTGAATATTTTTATTATTATAAGAGGAGGGAAAATAAAATATGAACATTTTCCAGCAGGATGCTTTTGCGAGCTCCCATTTTTTAACAAAATGATAAAAGCAAACAGAAATATAGTATTATTGGTATTTTGGGATTCCAAGCTTTCTAGCTTTACATTCTTTATTTGACATAATGATAAGTTTTGTCACCTCTAAGAATAAGAATAAGGGCAACCTTCGAGTTTGAACTATTATACATATTAACTACATCAAGATTATTCTTTTCTTTTTTGTTGGTCAATGCTCTTTACTAATTATTAAATATCATACATTAGACATGTTAGTTTGAAGTGAATATTTGATGGATTCGTTTTATTAATTTAACTTATATCTGAGTTTAATTAAATTTAAAATAAATAGACCATGCTAGTCATATTTAATTTGTTGAGGAGTTTGATGTTAGCATCGGGAGCAATCAACCAAGATAGTTTAGTTTTAGTTAATTGGATGAGATGTGTTGGTTTGTTAAGTAGATACTATTTGAAATTGGCCAAACGAGTCCACTAACACCGGCCAAACGTGAAGGTTCAATCTTCTAGAAAAGCGTACATATAACTCACATTCAAGTTAGCATTCATACGTAAATATTGCACTAAAGTATTATTGCTCATCTCAACTATTGATATACATTTGTTGACATCTTGCATCACACATTGTATATATTGGTGATTTTGTTGCATTAGTTGTAATAATAAGGATTTTAGTTCGAAGTTATTGGTGGTAATGACAGGGTTTACTATACTTGAACTAGACTCCTCGTTTGATGGATGGGCAAATTCCTTAAGGGTTCTTCGGTTACGATCTTCGGCCATAGTTCTATTTATCCTACGAAGAAAAAGACGTGCTCGAGTGTAACGTTCGGGTTCCACTAAAGGATCTACTAAGTTTCTGGTACTGTGATTCTTGCATATTTACCGGCTAATAAAGCCTTAGTCTAAACGGGATAACAATAGGGTACGAAATTTGACGAAGTTTGGTTCCCGGCAACGGCGCTAAAAACTTGATCGATCTGTTTATAGAGTCTAAAATCTAACTGCAAGTGCACAACCTATTGAAGTAATATAAAGGATTGTCAAACCACGGAGACCAATTGTCAATCTATCAAATCCTTCTATTGTCACTTATAAAATGGCGTTTCAAGCATTAAAGCAACAAACCTATTTTTAAGAAATTAGTTTCTAACTTAGTAAAAAGGTGGTTTCAACTCGGAATGATTGACATAATGAGATTCTTGGCTTTCACTCGAGAATCAGATTGTAAACCTATAAACACATTCGAAAATAGTTTCAAAATCGTTTTCTAAAAGTGTCAAAGATCCCTAATTAACCAGTCAAAACGCTTTCTCCCTTTTTGATCGGTTAAAAACTAACCAAGTTTACTCTTTGAAATGGACGACTTTCGATCTTATCCAAAAATATTAAGTATGGAAAACTTGTGTTAAAAGTTAAAACAACCCCTAAAGTGTTTCTACTGATATAGTGTTGAAATGCTATCATGACAATGATCCTTACATTCCAACCTTAAAATATTTAGCCAGACATAGAAATAAAAGCAAGTATATTAAAGTTGATCGAAATAAACATAGTAATAAAGACAAGGTAAGATGATAAAATAAGTAATGCAAGTGCAAGACATAACGATTGAATAAAATAAAAAATTTAAATAGAAATCTGCTCCAAATCGGAGTCTTTAAATCTTGGTACAACTGGAAAGTAAATTCTTGAAGTAAAATGGCGCAAGATTATAAATAAAAGAGATGCTCCAACCTAATCAAGACTATGGTGCAATAATCCTCCGATGTGGCGAATTATTGATTTTACACAAGTGAGTATAGGCTTAGCGTTGCAAGACTAAGTTGGATGATAGAAAATAAAATAAAAACTACTATTTATAGAAGTTCTCCAGGCTATGCTTTGACAGAAATTCCCCCAACTCCTTTTGGGCGTGAAGGAGCTTATCAAAGACCACGGGCGCCGAGGACCCTCCGCGGGCGCTGAGTGAGCTGATAGAGAGATTGTGGGGGATGTGGAAGTTATCCCCTGGGTGGAGTGGGACACCTCACGGTGCCCCCTATAGCGACCGCTGAGCTGAATGCCATACTTAGGATTTCACTGAAAATCTCAATTTCTTGGCCTTTTTGCTTGGTTTCTTCAAGATGAGCTCCAAATGGGCATGTTGCCTGAAAACAAGACAAATACAATCGTAACGCAAGAAAACATTACTAAGAATTATGGAAAACATGTGTTATTTGAGTCAAATATGCAGTGCGATCAAGTGTTATCAGTTGACTCAACCATTGACAGTCTTACCATTGATCGGTAGACTGAATAACATGTACATGTCCTCTAGTGTGACGGTACATTCACCATATGGAAGATGAAAGGTGTGAGTTTCGGGTCTCCATCTTTCCATTAATGCGAGAATAATTTTATAGTCAACATGGTAATTGACTATGTTGAGTAACGAACCAAAACCGGCTTGTCGTAAGTACAGTTCAATTTGTACATCGTAAGGGACATACTCATGGACACGACAACGAAATATTTTAACATCCTATTAAAAACATGAATTACGTATAAGAAATATAAGATTTATGTATAACAATCATAAGAACTACGAAAATCAAATTAGTCGATTATTAACATGTATTGAAGAAAATAAACTTACACAGGTTTTAATGTTGTTAAGAGTTCCTTTATGTTGATCATCCATGGTCAAGAGAGTTATTCTTTCTCAGTTACTCTTGTGTTCTTGTTGATGTTTCAAGAAATAAATAGTGTGTGATTTATGATTGTGATGAACATATAGGGTGAATGTTATATGTATTTATAAGAAAATATGGAGGAACACTATGCATTCACGTGAGAATGCTTTGCATGCAATTAACACATAGGTGCCACACTAGGTGGCACATCCTTTTGTTTTTTGCACTAAGGCTCCATTCAATATGGCTTGTTACTTTTTGCATGCATGCAAAGCTGCAGCGTGGTAGTGATCAGATGGCATGCATGCAAGACTGTCATTCACATGACAAGCCACCCTAGGTGGCGCATGCTTACAAAAATTAGAGGACAAGCCACCCTAGGTGGCGCATGTGTTGTTGTGTTAAAAGAGAAGCCATCTTGGATGGCGCATTAGTGGTATACACCCCCATACTTTCATCAGTCTATTTAAGCGTATGTTTAAGGTGCATTACTGGTATACATCTGTAGCGGTAAAAATGTTCAAGACTAAGCCATTGGATTGACTAGACTTTGTACAAATCAAAATAAAAATCTCCACTGCGCTTTATTGTTTCCAATGGAATGGGAAAAGAGAGAATAACCCAAAAGAGGGGGAAAATTCAAGGTAAGGGGGTTGGTTATGAAAAGGGAAGGTATTAGCACCCTAAACATCTACGGTACTCCGTAGGAGCCTCTTTGTAAAATCTGTATATTTTGGCTATAAAATGTGTTGTATATAAAATGGATGGTGGAGGTGAGAAAAGAAATATATTTTTTATGATTTTTGCACCCCCCGCGGTTGCGAACCTTTAGTGCCTACGTACCACCTTTCGTGCAATAGGGGATCAGGGTACACGTAGTTCCTCTTTTAAAAATTTGAAACACAAATGTGTTGGTTATTTTTATGAGATAAAACATCATCGTCATTGTCCGTATGGAAAAACATACTTACTACCCACAATCATGAGAAAGGAGAATTTTCATCATCTCAAAGTGGAGGATATGGCTTGGATTTTAAAATCAACAATGCCTCACTCAACACCCTAGTGGAAAATATCTCACTTCACTACATATTGTAGAAGTATAGTTGTTTGCATCACTACAAGGATTGACAAGAGTCTAACCTTTTGATAAAAGTTTAAAGGAAAAAATCCAAGTGGCAAAATGGTTTTAAATGAGATTGATTGACTTTTAGTCTTCTCACAAAAAATATCAAGGTATTATTAAGTTGATTGAAGTTTATTTATGAAAATATTTTGAAAATGCATGGACATAAGTCCAAGTTTATTATGAAAGTGTTTCAAGTTTAGAAACAAGAAGAGTTTCCAAAAGGAGGGAGAAGATTTTTGAAATTAAAGAAGATAGGAGGAGAAAAAGAGTATATTTTAAAGCATGAGGTAAACGCTAAGGATAAAATCCATCTAACAAACAAGAAGCCAAAGCTTGACATTATGAGCCAAGATATAATTCCCATTCTTTGGATTGAAACCAAACAAGCAAAGATACTAGACCTCTTGAGAGAACCAAACTTCAAGTGTATTAAGTCTTCACAAAAATTGGGCAGAGTAACGGCTGTATACAGGTGAATTCCATATTACAAACAAAGAGTGTAATCACAAAAACCTGCATACAAAAGCAAACAAGCTACCCAATTTCTTGAGGTAAACCTCAAGAACTCCAGACAAAATAATCAGATAAAGTCACTAAGTCTCCAAGATAGGCCAAGGTCTCTAATCCTAAGTCCAAGAAAAAGTCCACTGCTCCATAATTCTAAGGATAGTAACCAAATAGTCCAAGTGCCATTAAAAGTTTTTTAGGGTTTATGTTGATTATTAAGTATCTTAAGAAAAGAAAAGAAAGGCTCAAGTGAGCAAAGTAAAAATGGCAAGTAAATAAATGCTCAAATGAGCAAAGATGAAAATGGCATGAAATGTAAATGCTAAAAAAAAGTACATAAAGCATAAAAAGAATAAAAGCATAAGATAAAACAAGTCAATAATTAGTGGTTAGTTGGATGACTATCTTGAAACTTACATTTGGAACTCATTAGAGGATTGGTAGAACCAAAGCCTCCACACAACAAGTTACATTTGCTTTTTGTGAAGTATATCATTCATTTGGAATTCTCACAAGTACCATTTAATTATCAACGATGTTTAAGTGATCCGCATTGATCAAAGGTGTTGTAGATCCATTAGAGGATTGGTAGAACCAAAGCCTCCATAAAATGAATCTCAAGTTTATTGGATCAAAGAGATCAAATTAACATACTTGGGCTTGCAATCATAAGTTTGGGTCACGAATGATCATTTATTCGAATCGGGACAAAATTTAGTGCCATGTTAAGCAATCGTAAGTGGACTTATATAGAAGTCGCACCTATTTTAAGGCCGGTCAATAGCAATCTATGCACCATTTGTTTTGAGACATGATATAGAGATCATGCTCCAACAACATTTAGTGCAATAAGAAGGGGATGAGATGAAGAGGATTAGGGAAAAAAGATGAATAAACCACTTTTGAATTAAAAATTTAATCAAACTATTATTAAAATCAGTCATCCATTTTGATGGAGTTGAACTCAACACCCAAGATCCAATGATGTTAATAAAGTCATGATCAAAAAATCAACTCAAGACAGCCAGAAAATAATCACAAAAAATAATATTATATTTAATATATACATTAAAAGGTAAAAAAAAAGGTTTAAAAATAGATGAGGAAAATATCAATTATATTCAAATTAATCAAGAAATGAAAAATAAGGCCATAGAAAAATCAGAAATGGATCCAAACATTTTTATAAAAAATTTGGTAATTTTTTAAAAGTCAGAAACTATTTTTAAACTATTTAAAATTTATAAAACAAACATAAAATAGATAAAAAATAGTAAACCTCAACATAAAATTTCATAAAATTTTTAGAAAGTCAAAAATATGCAAAATAATATTTATGAATTTTTTCAGAATTAAAAAATGTCAGAAAGTAATTTTTAAGTAATTAAAAGAAGGCAAATAATACAAAAAATATAAAAAATACCAAATGTTAAAATAAAAATGTGAAAAAATATTCATGAGATCAGAAATAATTCAAAGTATTTTTTTGAATTTTTTCATAATTTTTGGATAAAAAATAAAAGAGTTATGAATTTTTGAAAATTTAATCAAATAAAATATAAAATCAAAAAATAAAATAAAACCAAAAAGATGTGGACCATCAGATCATAGTCAAAACGCGTTAGTAAGCTAATCCAATGGACCAGACGCGTTGTGCTTGATATGGACCTTAGGGAAACACACATGTGATCAGGAAAAGGGCAACCAATGAAAATAAAACGCTTGGCACGCTATCATTGGCTGAGACGAGACATGTCATCGTCTTCAACCTCCAGACACCCTGTAATGGGGATTTTGTGAGATCCTTCAAATGGAAAAATTAGGATCGCAGGCTAGCATCATTGAACTCGTCTCTTCAAGACGATTCTAACACAACCATCGCGTCAAATTTATATAAGGTATGGAGAGATATGAATCAAAAACCCAAAAAATAGCGAGCACCTTCAATTTGAGATTTCTCTCAATTCTCAATGGATTTAAAAATTGTAAGCAACATTAGAATCAGACAAAGGAGTAGAATAGATTAGTGCTTGATTTGGATCCAAATGGTGGAGAATTCTACCTTTTCGAAGTTCAAGTAAGAAGCTCTGAAACTGGACTTCTGTAGCTTGAATTATGGGTCGTTTTGATTGGTTTAAGTGCTAGAGAGTTTGTATGAAGTTCAAGGATGATGAATGCGCAAAGAATTTTTGAAAAGGAAGCTTAAATTTCAAAAATTGAATTCAAAAAAAGTGGGTTCGTGTGAGGTTTTGGCAGGGTGTTCTTGGCTCTCTAAGCTTGGGAAAACGAATGGGATAGTTCATGTATTTATAGGAGAAGCAAATGGGATCAAAAGGAAGAGTGAATGATGCGTTTTGGAGGGAATTCGTGTGGGTCTGCATCATGAAGAAAGTGTGACTCAAATTTGATCAAAACTCAGTTAAATCGTGCGTTTCATGACGCTAAACACTTTTGGGAAGTTGCTAATCATGATTAGAAACAAAAATGCGTGGAAAACTTGTGATTAGAAGCCAAAACAAAGATTTCAAAATCCTGACTTTGTGAAAATTTCAGTTTCAAGTTACCAAATTCAAATCCATGGCATTTCCAACTCAAGGGGTCTTAGGGCATAATTCTTGATGCTTTAGAAAGATGAGGTTACAAGCTTTGCAATGGAAAAAGAATGGAATCAAATGGATGCTTGAGCTGAAAGTTACATGGAGTCAAAGTTGAAGAAAAAGAGTTGACTTTCCATACTTAGAAATATTTCAAATTCTTCTTCCAAAATGACCTATAATATTTTGTATCCAAACATGGCCTTCCACTTAGAATTTGCTCTTGACCAAAAAATATGGAATGAAATAGATCTCTTGAATGACAATTTGAAATTTGAACCACTCAAAATCTCCAAAAATTGAGCAAGTTATGACTTGTTGAAGTTGGCCAAAAATCATGAAATGACCTATAATCTTTTGCATTCTTAAGGAAACTTCCATCCATTTTATCACTTTGCACATGAAAGAAAGCATAAAATACACATCTTTAAGATCATCATGGAAAAAGAATGGACTCAAGGTGATAAAAATTGACCAAGTTATGATCATTTGAAGTCACATATGGAAAATTGGGGATTCATCTGGATGACTTCTAATCTTTCTTCTTCACCAAGTTCCTTCCACATGAAAACTCCTTGGAACTTTTGAAGTGATTTGTTGGTAACTCTTTAAAGAGAAAGTTGTCTTTGGAATCACTCAAAAATACCAAAATGTGAGCAAGATATGCTCCTTTGAAGTTCAAAACCCTAGCCTAGAGATCAAGAGAATGCTTTGAGGAACTTTGACAAGTTTGAACAAACTTCTTGTGCCAATATTCTTTATTTGTAACTAGAAGTTG